TTCTAATGGCAGCTAACAATATTTTCCTACTACCGTGGTTTTCCAGTTCCTCTCTGTAAATATGAGTTTTGGTCATACTAAGTATAAAGAACAACAACACACGTCATGACCTAAACATTGTTTCTTTAATGTTCACAAAGAAAAGAAGCTACAAATCATCTTCTAAAGCAATGTAAATTGCTAGAACAATGCAGAACTTGAATATACATATGCTTAAATTCTTCAAATATTCAAAGATTTCAAGATACCCCAGTTTCATTGTTATATATATCAGTTGTTAAGTGTTGGTAGAATACCACAGGACAAAAGTATTTCCAAAGTGTGTATTTGCAATTACTCTATTCTCATTTACACACACATATCTCTGAAGGACAGAGTTGTGTGGTTTGAAAGGAAAGTAGCAGTGAAATCCACTGTGGTTAAAATATGTGTGTGCGTGTGTGTGTGTGTGTGTGTAAAATGTTCAATAAAAACAGATTCTAATGCATATGCTGGAGATTCAAATTCACAACACACACACACACACAAAAAAAAAATCACAGCCCTATTTACTGTTGGTACAATTCCAAAGCCACTGCACAAAAACAAATAATTTATATATATAAATATACTCTATGTAAAAGCACATTAATTGTGCTTATGTAGATACTTGCAAGAGCCAACACACAGAGGTATATTTAAATCCCAAATGATAAGAACACGTAATTGTGGCACTGCTGCATTCTTGGCTCTGAAGGACGAAGCCGTAAGCGCCTTCCTCTTCTCCAAGCACAGCTATTTAAACATTCCCGTGCACTTCCTTTTCCTGTTGTGCTTCCACGCCATTAAGAACACAGTTGTTTTTAAATAGGCAACACTTTATAATTTTCTTCATTAGCAACTGCAGCTTTAAAAACTGCAAGTGCTAGGCAGTAAACTACCTCAAATTCCATGCAACACCTTCACCAGAAATTGTTTTATCATACAGTAACTATTCCCTAAAGTAGCTCAACAGAGTAAAAAGGGGGTATTTTGCTTCAATATAAATTACCTAAGAGTCATCTGGCAGAAATGAGTTTTCTTAAATGGAGAAAGCTTTCAGAAAAATTGTAGATGCAATTTTCTCTGTGTGAAGCTCTGAGAATCTGAATTTTAAGATTTCCCAGGCCTGAAAAGCACAGAGAGAGGTAGCAAACCCCCAACGAGGACATTTTCTTCATTTTCATTCAAGTATTTGGATGGTATTTGATCTAAACAGGCTCTAAGAAATGAATTCAAGTCATTTTTCTCTCAAATACCCAGACATCCATCATTTTCTCAGACTAGAGAACTAATTTTTCTGCAAGGTGTGGGATCACAGCACAGTAGCTCTCTAAATTACAACATACAGCTTGGGGTTTTAGTGACTTCAGGGATTCAGCTTAAAGAAGGGATGGATACTGCGGCTCTTGAGGCTGCTCCAGCCAGGGGCAAGGGAGAGCCCCAGAAGAGGTTAGTGCACCTGCAGTGCACTAAGGAGGCACCATCCAATCCTGATCCTGTCTCAGCATAAACCTGTCCTTCCTAGCTCTGTGGCTTATCAGATATTTACCTCAAGGTCACGCCACCCTCTTCTCTTGCAAATCAGATCCCAACAAGAAGAATGCAGGACACAAAACAGAAAGAAAAGGTTTGAAAGCCATTTTAAGTGTCTTCCACTCCCTCACAGAGGATGGACTATATCATGTTTCATGGCAAAAAACAGACTGGGGAGAGAAGG